AAACCACAGCTAATTACTGTATGGGGGCTAATTACCAAGGTTTGTTACACGCCCTGAGTAGGAGGTGTCAGCTGCATCCCCGGGAAGCACAGAGCTGTGCGATGGGTGCACAGTCTCTCAGCCCACAGAGCGAGAACTGCCCACACCGAAACACGAGAGACTCACTTGGATCCGTTGTTGATCAGGATGCTCTCCCGGATGGTCAGCGTGCAGTAGTACCACACCAGGAGGAAGTTAAAGGCAGAATCTGTCACCCTGGCAAACAAAGCAGGGTGAAAAGAGCATGGAGACCACATCCCTGCAGCATGCTCATCCCTGGGAGGCCACCGTGTCCCCAGGGCAGGGGAGAGCTACAAGGTTGGGGCAGTCAATCCCTCTATTGGGACCTCCTGTTCAGCTCCACTTTTTGAGCTTTAGTGTTGCTCTGGGCTCTTCAGAACCAGAGATGGATACAGGGGCTTTGGGAGGACAACTCTGCCCAGCACCCCAGGCAGACTCACCTGGAGTTTAGAAGGAACCGACAGGAGAAAGACACAATGAGCAAAATGATGGTGAGGTAGAGCTTGAACTTCTCGTACTCGTCTTTGTAAGCAAACCTGCAGGGGTGTACAAGAACAGGCTTGGAGCAAGGTGGCTGCCGGCAGGCTGCATCCTGCCCTCCCACCTGGCTGGACAAAAGGGATGCCCTTCTGGGAGCCTCTTGAAAGAGCTAATGAAATCCTTGTCCCCCAAACACTTCTGAGAGGAGAGCAAACCACAGGGCAGCATTGCATCATTCCACAGCCACGCCAGCTGGGGAGGTGGCCCAGGGCACTCAGGAAGCTGAGCAGATCAGCACTGGTGCATTTCATGGAGAGCCCATGGAACAAGACAGCAGGGTCTGGGGCTCACTGCTCAGCACTTCTCACTGAGTGTCCCAGCATGGGGGCTGTCAGCACTGGCTGCCATAGCCAAGGCTTCCCCGCAGCTGGGTCCCTCCTGAAGTCCCTAACACAGGAGAAACTCAGGCACAGCTTTGGTGGTGGGTCCCATTTAACCCATTACAGCCAGCGGTTCGTCCCAGCCTGGTCACAGGAGCTAAGCAGGGACTGAGGGCTGCTTCCAGGAAAGGGAGAAATGGACAGACCTGGCAAGGAATCTGCACCAGCTGGGTCAAGCCAGCCACATGCCTGAAAGTACCGCACTCACAGGCTGCAGATCTATAACCCCCCAGTGACAAGGGAACCCCAAGCCTCCCCACGCACACGACGGCGGCGCTGCAGGGCCGTACTTAGCCTGCTTGCTGAGCAGTGTGACGTTCACGTTCCCAAGCACCAGACTCAGGTACAACCTGGGGAGAGAGCAGAGGTGTTCAGGTGGGAGCCTGCACAAAGCTGCCCGTGTTGCGGGCCAGGCACAGCTATCACCTTTCCCACCACGTCCCGTGCTGCTGACAGGCACCACATCCCCTGCCCAGCCATTTTCCACCCGGAGCTGCTCAAGGGCAGCAGGAGGACGCAGAGAGTTGGGCTGGCTGCTGCCCAGGCACCTGCGGGTGACCACAGCGGTGCCTAGCGGTGGTGCAGCTGCTGGGACCCGGTGCAGCATGTCATAAGGTTTCACCCAGGAGGAGCCTGGCGCCTACAGACCCCAGCTGTGCTGCCTGCTCCTGGCAAAGAGATCGTCCTCACGCAAACATGGGGCACCTCTCACCCGTTCTTCTTTGGCAGGTAGGCCTCCATCTCGAAGAAAACATTCTGTCTCTCTTTGATCAGGCTCTGGATCTCTTGCATGGACTCTCGCTGTTCGGGACTCACGTGGGTCTTGCATCTGGGGAGGAAGAGCGGGCACTGGCATCAGGATCGGCTCCGTCACAGCACGAGCGCGTGCTGGCACTTGATCCGGTGCTGTGCCTGGGACAAGGGCACCCCAAGGACAGCAATAGCAAACTGGAGGCGAGTTCCATCTGCGGGGCAGGCAGAGGAGCTGCCGGAGGGAAGGGAGTGGGAGGGAAAGCACAGGGAGGACGGGCAGCTCGTCCCATTGCCAGGAAACACAGGCAAGACTTCGAAAGCACAATTTGGAAAGCAAAGCTGAGGAAGATGTGCCAGGGTACACCCAGACCTCAGCAGCCTTTTGCTAACATCTGTGCCGCCCTGAGCCGGGTCCAACAGCCCTGCCCTGGCAGCTCTTCTCTCCCAGCACCTCAACTTACTTCTTGAGGGACAGGGACAGTTCCTTCAGCCGCTTCTTCTGCCGTGTGATGCAGCTGGAGATCCCATCCTGCAGCTTGGTCAGCTCCTCCAGCTTCTGCTTGTACAGCCTGTGGTTATCCTGCGAATGGGAGCAGTGTGTGCTGCAGGTACACACTCCAGCAGTGCACAGAGCCCTCAGTGCACGCCTGTACCACAAGAACACCCCCAGAACCGCAGTGCTCTGAGCCCAGTGAGGAACTGCAGCAAAACAGAACGGCAACAACCTCTGTGCTGCTGCTTGGAAATATCTTTAAGTAGAAAACCAGGAGTGCAGTGTGTGGAAACGATGCAGCTGTATCTGTAACTTCAATGCACATCAGGGTGGGGAACAGAGCAGCAGTCAGACAACGCAGCGGGCAGCCAGGTGTGTCTGGGGAGCCCATCCCCAGCTCTGAGTGCATTACCCACTGTAAAGGATGAGTTCTGCACGGCACATCCAGCAGCAGGCTGGGTGCTCGGCTGCCTCGTCTCAGGGCTGCGGAACCCACAGCTTTGCTCTCCAGTTGTGACACCATGAAAGAGCCACACAGTGCTGGACCGGGGTACAGTCAGGGGCTGGACCCAGAGGTGGTTTTGCTGCTGGCCCCGCATGGGACCAGAGAGCAGAGCTCTGTGCCTGCTGCCCACAGCTCACCCTGGGGGATGCCGGTGGCCCCGCTTGCTGCCGTAACCCAACCGCACCTGGGTGACACCAGATGCCATTCTTCTGCTATATTTAGAAGGGAAAGGAGAGACCGTGCTATGTCAATGCTCCTTCTGGTCCTGTCAGCTGAAAAACAACCTCACCTCGACCACAGGCAGCCCCAGAGCCACCAAGGAACGAAGCGCTGCTTGCAACAACCCTTGGACTAGACCTTGGTGCGCGCTCCTTTCAGCCTCCGCAGTTCTTATCGGGGACTTTATCAGCAGATGTCAAAGCCTTTCCCAAAGGAGAAAGGTGAAAGCACACACAGAGGAGGGAGAAAACACGGTCTCCCTCAGGTGTCCAGCAGTGAGGTGGGGACGAACCCAGATCACCCCGCAGTGACTAACGCCCCGACCTCGGGCGGGATGCCCCCACTCAGCAAACCCTTCCCTGCTCCCAGAGGAGCTCCTGTCGCTCAGGGGTCGGCCACGAGAGAGCCGGCTTTGGGCCAAGCGCTCCGTCGGAGCTCCTTGCGTCCCAGCCCGGGGATTTCGGGATGCACAGACCGGCCCCTATGGAGCAAGAGCGCGTTTCTCAGAGCCGCCCTTGCCCCAGATCTGGGCACAGCTGTGCTGAGTCCGCAACAGCATCCGCTTCGCCCCATCCCGCGGGGGTGGAGAGGTAGAGGGAAGAGCTGTGAGCGGAGCCGGTCAGCCGAGCTTTCCCTCGGGTGACCCCGGCCGCGCCGATGCCTGCCCACTCACTCGCGGGGATTACACGGCGCACCCCGGCCCGCTCCTGCGGGGACGGACGGACGGACGGACGGAGGGCGGCCGGCTGGTCCGGCTCAGTGTGGCCCCCCCCCCGTGACCGGCAGCATCCTCCCGCCCCGCTCGGGCTGCTCTCCGCGCCAACAGACCCGCAGCTTCCCCACGCCACGGCCGCCCAACAGCCCCGCCGCCCCGCGATTTGCGGCCGGGCACCGAGCCCTGAGCAGCTCCCCCTCGCGCAGCCCCCGGCCCCGGTACCTGGATGCGCTGGTAGCCGTCCTGCAGCTCCTCCCACTCCCGCAGGCATTCGGCGACCGAAGCCATGGCGGTGGCGGCGGGAGGGAAGGAAGGAGGGACGGACAGAGGAGGCGGCGAACGGCCCCGGCACTGCGCTGCTGCTTCCGGGCACGCCCCCCGCGAGGCGGACCGGGGGGGCGGCTCCTGCCGTGCCGAGCCGTGCCGTGACACCCCATGCTGTGCTGTCACTCCCCATGCTGTGCCATGACTCCCCATGCTGTGCCATGACTCCCCATGCTGTGCCATAACACCTCATGCTGTGCCATAACATCCCATGCTGTGCCATGACTCCCCATGCTGTGCCATGACTCCCCATGCTGTGCATTGACTCCCCATGCTGTGCCATGCCAGCCCTGCACTGCTCAAGGACAGGATGGAGGGATGGTGGGCATCCTGGGCTTGAGGGGTTTTGGTGCTGCCAACCTAAACACGCAGTGATAGATTTTGTTCAAGGGGGTTTTTTTGTTTTGTTTTGTGCTATCAGCACAAGGAATTTGTAGTGCTGCAGGGCTGAGGGTGGTACCGACTTGAGTTTGGGGTTTCAAATTCATCTGCTGGTCAAAGTCAGGTTACTGGGTGAGCAAAAGCACACCTGAAAATGGGGAAATGCGGTGTGTCCCTGGGCTGCAAGTCCACACTCTACATCTGCCATCCAAGGCCATGGGTCAGTGAACTTTTTCAGTAGGACGAGAGGTGATGGCCTCAGGTTGCACCAGGGGACGTTCAGGTTGGATATGAGGAACAATTTCCTCTCCAAAGAGCGGTGCTGCAGTGGCACAGCTGCATGGGGAGGGGGTTCACCATCCCTGGAGATGCTCCAGAGCTGTGGGGATGTGGCACCGAGGGACGCGGGCAGTGGGCAGTGCTGGTGGGAGGTGGACGTTGGACTGATATCCTAGAGGTCTATTTCCAATCTTAATGATTCTACAAATCTCTTCAGAGAGAACCCCAACAGCCTCCCTATCTGGGGCAGAGAGAATGCCCAGTAATGTGGCCACAACCCCCCTAACTTACAGGAGAGGCAAGCTGTGCAGTGGGCCATAGCCTGCAGGTCTTGCTCTCCCCAGGCCCACATCCTTACCAGCATCCCTAATAGCTCCAAATATGGACTCCATTTATTAAAGCTGAAGATAAAAACAACTCCATTATATAACAGCAATGTCAACAGAGTTGAGTTCACTTTCTACCTACAGAGGAGGCAGTGGGGCAGACAAAGAACCATCCTTTCCCCTGCTCAGTAATTGGGTTCAGAGACATCAGTGATGGTGGTCCCATAGATTTGAGCCTCCCAGTCTGAAAGCTGTTTCACAAAGCCCCGGTGTGGTCTCACGTTTGTTTTGCATTTCAGAACGTGGTTCCAAGCTTTCTGAAAAGAGAAAGCAAAGAAGTGTTAGAAATAGGAGCTGAAAATGAATTTCTTGTATTTATACCAAGCAGCTCTGCTTGTGAACAAAACAGCTTTGTGTTTGCTCCCTGGGATGGACTTTGGCAGGCAAGTCTCTGGCTGCCAAACTATGGACAGATGGGATCCAGATGTGAACTTGTGAGAAGCCTTTCATCTTTTCATCCTGCTTTCCTGAGCACGAGGACAGCTCAGCCTTCTCTCGTTAGCTGGCACGTATCTTGCATCGTTTGACACCGATGGAGAAATGCAGTCCTGGATTTTCTCCTCCAAACAGCTAATTCTTTCACAGATGATAAGCAGAACAGCAATGTACCAGCAGAACAGCAATGTACCAGCTCTTTGCACACAAGGGACAAAGGTTATCATCTTTCTGAACTACTGCGGTGTTCGTGTGGCAGATGCTGATGTGGCAGAGCAGCTGTTAAACTCCAGTTATCCCACCATGTTAATTACAGCCATCTTAATGATCTGCTAGGCCCATGGAATCAGGTAGGGATTCTGCTACACGCAGGGCAGCTCCACCAGCGTTACACTGCTTTGCTCTTGCTACACCCCTGGATTTCCCCAGTAGGGCTCATCTTCCTGCTTCTGAAAGTCCCCCAGCAATCAGAGCATTGCATAAGCACAATGAGACCAAAGGTTACAAGATAGCATTCCATGGATTTGTTTTTCTCATCTCAGCAATTCTGCAGGCTCTGATCTTCCAGTATTTACTCCTCTGTGCCCACGTTCTGCGTGTCTGTGCTTCCCCTGAACTCCACAGATGTATCAATCACTAACAGAATAAGGGGGCACACACCCCAGATCTGTGTTTCTCATGAGATATCTCTGCCTTGGGACATTGTTGGACGTGTTAGCCTAGATTGGGAAGAATCATACAGGAATCTGTTATACTGCCTTTACCTGTAAGAAACAAACCAGTCTGACAGGGCAATCCTGCAGGAAAGCTTGGCCCAGGCCAGCTGCAGGAGACCACTGCACCTTGCAAAGTGCTGGGACCAACCTGCTAGTACTGAGAGAACCTGCAAGGATCAGCCTTTGACTTTCACACTGCTGCTGCAAATGCCTCTGGTAACTCAGCATGCAGGAGAAAACAGCGAGGGAGCAGTTATTAGTGAGCTGGAGCAATCACACCCAGCATTACTGGCCAAGCCCAAGCAGTGTCTGCTGCCCGGCTGGCACACTCAGCCTGGAATGACACTTTGGCACACACTGGTGGTAAGAGATTTCCTCTTATGTTGCAAATGTTTGTACAGAATCAATTAAATGATGAGATACAGGCCCAGCTTGAGTGAGGTGTGAGTCAGTCCTTTCCAGCTTCCAAAGGAGGTCACACAAAGGAGGATGAGATTTTTAAGGAGAAACCTTTTGGTTTTCATAGGGAAGAAGTCTGGTCTGTGCCAAGCAGGCACCACAGGCCACTGCCTACAGCAGCACTGTGCCCATGTGTTGCATGCAAAGGGAAAAATGGGCTGGCTTTTGGGGAGAGGCCACTAGTCTTTCCACACCTCTGGGTCATTTTCAGCCTTCCTTTGTGATTTTTCTTATGTTATTCAGAGCACTGGAACAAGATGTACTGTTCTTTTAACCTGTACGTCCCTTGTGGGCTAGTAGTATCCTGCTCCAGATTTCTTTATAGTAATGTCTGTGGGAGGGATTGCTTCTTAGGAAATAAAATGGTTTCAGACAAAGTGGGTGCTGGTGAGCACAGTGGTAAATCAGAGCTCTGCAAACACTGGGGTATGAATTGCCCTGTAACCCATGGTATTAGGAGATGGGATTAACTTCATAGCTTCCAGATACTCTTTATCTCAGAGCAGGAGAGCCATGATCTGTAACCACTGCTTTGTTTTCACAGCCCTGTGGGGCTGCATTTCCCTATTGAGCAGGGAAATACAGGAATATCACAGGTGCCAGCTAAGGACTCACAAATCCAAAATCACACCTATGCCACCTCCGTAATGATATCAGGAAGATCCAACAGATGTAAGAGAATCTCTCACACTACCAGGTGGGCAGTCTGCACGAATACACGGATGAGTTCTTTCTCATTACTGCAGTAATGAGGCTTCAGGAGCAGAAATAAACTGCAGGTTCAGGCAGTATCTGTGGGAAGGATGACAGTGATGTACCTTCAGGGAAAACTGGAAGGAATGCATAAGATAGGCCATGGTTACTGTGCTGCTCCGGCTTATCCCCAGGCTAGAGAACACCAGCACTGCTCCGAGATCCAGCTGGGTGTCTGCATAAAGAAACACCAATCACAAATTAGTGATCTGGGAAATCAAATTTCCAATCATACAGCAGAGCTCTAGTTCAGTGAAAACTGGCAGGCTGCTAGCCTGAGAGACAGGAACCATCATTAACCCTGATAGGAACAGATGTGCACTGCCAGCTCTTGTTTCTTTAAGCATCTGCCTTTCTTAAAACACCACTGAGTTAAGAAGGAGCTTTGAGGACCAGAACCAAATGACAACGACCAGTCGGTGCTTCATGACAGATCAGTGTCAACTTCATGTCAGATAACTGCGACGAAAAGTGGCCTGCCATCACCCATCAGCTGTGGTCGGCATCACATCAGCAACTCAAACTCTTCCAGATAGGTTTAAAGATGACAAAATTTCTGTTGAATGCAAACCTAACTGTTCTGCACTCAAGCTGGAGGAATCAGCTCTCAAACTGATGGACTCAGGCTGCCCTTACCCCTTGCTCTCTACACCTGCCTGAAAGGAGGTTGTGGTGAGGTGGGAGTCAGCCTCTTCTCCCAGGTAACAGCAATAGGACCAGAGGGAATGGCCTCGAGTTGCAGCAGGAGAGGTTTAAGTCAGATATTAGGGAGAATTTCCTCTCAGAAAGAGTGGGCAGGCATTGGAATGGGCTGCCAGGGATGGGGGAGTCACTGCCCCAGAGGAGTTTAAGGGCAGACGCAGTGTTTGGGGCCATGGTCAGTGGGCAGCAGTGGTGGTAGGTGGATGGTTGGACTGGATCACCTCTTCCAACCTCAGCAATTCCATGGTTCTGTGGGGATCAGCGTGTGCACACCAGGCAGGGCACTGGTTTCATGATGGTGTGGATGATTTGCAGTGAAAATTATGAAGATCAGCAAACTCTTTTTCCACCAAAGCAAAGCCCACTTGGCTGAGAATGCTGTCACTCACTGTTCACCACATCAACTCCGCCACCTATGCATAAACAGCTCTATAATTTATTAATAACTCTTTTAATGCTTTCCTTCCCTCTCCAGAACAGATAGCACGATGTGTTTTTGGAATATCAGCAAGTGCACTGTAGAATTTGTAGGGCAAAGCTGCTTCTACTGTTGTCAAGAAGCTGTTGGGTTTTTTTCAAGCACTGAAACACAGTTTCCTCTCATGAGGTAAGGCCCAGGAGCAGAAATGCCTCAGTCCAACAGACTCCAAGCATGAGAATACCCACACCCCTCTCTCAGGGTTTGTGGAGAGCTTTAGTGTTCACCCATAATCGTTCCACTTAAAGTAATCTACTCAGAACTTATCAAATGAACAGTATGCACAGTATCCACAGCTAACAAACTCTAAGAGTCTGTGTTGGAAGCTTCCACATACTGATGTAAGAAAGAGACTTCTGAAATACTGCTGCAAAAAGAAAACTTGAGGCATAATGAAGGATATGCAAGTGCATATATATGCATATATCAACATTCTGGTTTCAATGTCGTGCAAGCCATGAAATTCAGATTAGGACAAGAGATTGTATCCAAATTATATCCACACCTATCATTTCCTTGTCTCTTTGTGTCCAGTTGTTACTACTTATTTTGTATTTGGATTATACTGTCTGAAGGAACAGACCAATCTGCTTCTGGGTCTGCATGACCGAGTGGAGCAGGGCTTTGGTCTGTGGCAGATGCTATTTTGTAAGTGTGATAGAAGATGAAGGTGCTGTTGAACACCATCATAGGATAAGGCTGCAGGAACTGTGTCTGCTGTGCTGTTGCAGGTGCCGAGCTGGTAAATTTTTCTTGCCCTCTCTGATACAATGACCTGAAGGCAGGTTTATGCTGTCCAAACTTCAAATTGCCCTAGGCTTTATGGTGAGTCAATCCCACCAGTCCCAAGGATTCAGAGCATTTTGCAGTAAGTTCTCCCATGTGTGTCACACTCCTGTTTGGTGGTTGAAGATTCGGTGGTTGAAGATTTGGGCTGGTAAGAATCAGAGGGCTGTATTTAAAAATAGAGGAACAGGGGGACTCCTATGCAGCTCTGGCAGATGTCCTACAGCAAAGCCTTCTCACACCTACTGCAAAGCTCTCTACTATTGCTGAGTGACTATTCTTTAAGTAGGAACATTAGCATCAGATGCCCTCTAAAATCTTGTCTCTGTCCATCAGTCTGGTTACTGAGGCAGCTCTGGTATCCATTAGGATGTGGGCTAGTTTGGGAGTACACTGATCTTCAAAGATAATGACCTGCCTGCCTGAGCTTCCTATTGGAGTGAATTGCAGTCGCTCCATTTTAATATCCTAGAGTGACTGAGAGCTCAGGAATTCCAAATCAGAAACAACTCACCAATGAAATGACAAATTGTAGAAAAGGAAGAAAAAAGATCTGCTTCAAGCGAATCTGGAACAGATATATGGAGGTATTTGCCTTCTTCTGCCCACCTGTAAAAAGAGCACGTAGCATTACGAGGACCAGCAAAGCAACTATGGGACAAAAATTGTTTGTTGGAGGCAAGCTGATAATTTTGTTTGCTGTTACATGTGTGAGTTTTTCATCATTGTCATTACTAACATTATGATAAGGAATCGTTATGGTAAAACACTAAGGCAGAACCAGTTTAATTACTGATTTTCCATTTACCTGGTCCTAGTACTCATGCCTTAACTTTATGCTACAGCTTCCTTTATCTCAGAGCTACATGCAAACAGATAAACTGAAAGCAAGCATGCCTTTGCAGCATGCATGTTGGCAGTCCTGTCAGCAGAGATCCCTGCTTCACTTCAGCTGTTTTCTTCCACAGCGTCCTCCTCCTTCCAGAAGCTCAGAGAATTCAACACAGGGACAAACTGAATGGACAAACTGAAACGTGAAAGCATGACAGAGTGGAAAGTGCCAAGGGCTCCCAGTCCTTCTCTCACCCAGTCCATCCATGTCATGGCAGATGGCTGAAGGAAACCATTGGTGCCATGCAGGTAGAGATCACAGAACTCAGTGTGAAATAGCACTCAAATCTGCTGTGAAAAAAAAAACAGTTCTCCTTCAAAGTTTACAGGCACTCACTCCTATGCTACCTCACTTTTTTCACAGGCACAGATATTGGGAAAAATATACCCTGAACAACTTACAGCGTTGCAGGCTGTTCAGAAATGTTGACTTGTGCTTTGATCTTCAAATCTTTCTGAATTTGTTGGTCGCAGGCCTGCTTGAAATTGCCCATGTATAACTTTCCAGGCAGTATTTCTACAGGGTACGGCTGGAAGTTGTCGAGTTCCTGCAAGGAGAGAAGCTGTGGGCTCACTTATAGTATAGTATAGGAGTATAGTTGCTCCTTTCAACTTGGTGAGCTCTTAAACAGAAGTCATGTGCAAAAATGAAGACACATTCAGTCAACAACATTCAAGTGCAATGATTCGTTCAATCTCCTGGATTTTCTGAAGCGTTGAAGTACTCGCTAGGTTTACTGAGCACAATTAACAAAAATGTTTTCATTGTGGCATTACTTGAAACCAATCCTAACTAAACAAGTGGAAGAATACATTTGTTGCAGTGTCTCAAGCAGCGTAACAGATTCATTTGAAATCTGGTTACTGTTCACCAAGCTAAATGAAGCCATCCGCCACCTGCAGAGCTGCAGGTGCAATGTAGTGGCACAGCACAAGTCTGCAGCTATTTCTGCTCTGTGCAGCATAAGGGCTGATGACAAAAACACACAAGTAGCTGACGGTGCTTCTACATCCATAATTGATACTCAGTAATGCTACACCAGAACCAAACAGCTCAATAATTCGAAGCCACGGAGAACAGCTTCAACAGAGTGCTTGCTTTGTGATCCTTCCAAAGGGCTTTACAGACATGAAACAGTGTTTGATAGATGTCAGACCTCTGCCTGAAAACACTCACTGGGTAACAGCTCAGATAACTGCATATAAAGGAGAGTAAACTGGAACCTGCCTTCTTTGTCATCGTTTGCTACTGTTTGTTCAGTTATCTGGACTCTCCAGTAGGCCAGCTTCAGGGTTATCAGAGAAAGCTTCCCTGGTTGCTTCATGAGCTGTATTTTCATGCAATAGAAGAGCTGTATTTTCATGCAATAGAAGAAGAAAAAAAAGGCAAAGTGTGGCTGCAGAAGAACTTGTGGCGACACCTGGGGCAAGCACGGTAACTCAGATTACATTTAGTTCCTTTGTTTGAAATTACCCTGATATCGGGTTTACAGCACCATCCACCTTGAATTCATTAATCATCATCAGTTCAACATGAAGGTTCAAGTCTTCTATTCGCAAGTCAGTCTCACCTGAGGCATCCACAGTATCTTCTGAGTCCTCAGGAAGTGGTAGCAAGCTGAGAAACGTTTGTATCCTCCCCTGAGGACGAGCACCGGATGGCGGCTGAACTGCTGCAAGCTGCTGGCGTGTCGGGCAGCAGTTCCTTCCTCAGCATCTAGAGAGCAAAAAGCAATTTGCTGGGGCGGGTTTGGTGTGCCTCCAGCGGCGCTGCAGGCTGAACCCAGCCCACTGGCACTCACAGTGAGCTCCTTTTCATTTCATCTTATGGGCTGTAAAAAGCCCTCTTAAAAGCTGGGCTGATTCAACTGTTGCTTGAGGACAGTCACAAGGAATGCTGCTGTTCACCTCTAGCGCTGATCTTTTATTCCTCTCCTGGTTTCTTTTGTAGGACCAGATCACGCTTTTGTTTTCTCCCCACTATTCTTTGGGAAATGCTTGCAATAACTTCCCATATTAGGAAGTATTTAAGTATAAATCTAATTTTAGTTGTATGGATCCCCTTTTCTTTAGTCTGCTTTAGCCAAGGTGAACAAAGGAACAACTTCTGAAGAAGTTTCAAACGCTCCCCTCAGTAATTACACAAGATGGTTGCTCCTCCTCCTTCTGTGTGAGATCCAAGTTGCCTGCAACTGTGCCTGCTTTAGGAACAGACCAGCAAAACAGAAGCCTGCTTTGGTTTCTTCACACCTTCCCTTGTGGAACACCTTCCTACAGGATGTGTTACAATTACACATTTCCACATGGGTCAAGGAAGGCTGAACAACTGCATGAAAGTTTCCAGCTCTTTGCATTTCGCAGTCAACTTCTTCACATCAGCACCACTAAAGCTAGGTCCTCTTAGATAGGATAAAGGTGCTTTGTAATCCTCAAAGAAGGAAGTACTTGCTCTGTGAACATGAGGAACCTGACTCAGTGTTCAGTCTCTGAAGAACCATTGCTTCCTAAAAGGCAATTGTTGGACAAGCCCAATTTCAGTGAGATGGAGAAGAAAAAAAATTAGAATTTGTTCCTTACATGCAACAAAGAACTTCAATTGGATCACATAGGAAACCAGGCCTGCCAGAAATCTTTGAAATAAAATCATGCTTTATGTTTAAGAACATGTGCAACACAGTTAAATAACAAAGGCACAGCACGGATGTTCATTTTGTTCTGAATAGAATTGGGTAAATTTGCACTTTGTCCAGTAAGCTCACAGAAGTAAATGAGGAGGAGGAAGAACATCCATCCTGCTGAGAGGTTTTGACTGACGTGAGCCTCATGTACCTTTCTCTTTTTCCTCTTCCTCAGAGTCATAGAAGTCCAAAGAGCTGCTCATACGGTCATACACCACGCAGTATCTGACACATGCCAGTTCCTCAGGATCTGGCACCAGATACTCCCCTGTAGGGCTCTGAAAAAAAATCACAGAAGACTTCCATGGGGAGTACAACATCACACTTTTCTTGCAGCACAATCGACACAGTGAACAGATCTGGGGCTGCAACTGCACTTCATTCTGAAAGACCCGGGTAGAACTCAGAAATCACACAAACCACTTCAGATTGCTTCATCAGCTGCAGTGGTAGAGATGCCTGTGCTGCCCTTTATGAGACAAGCCAACACTGCGTCAGTTCTTGTGCAATATTTTTCCTGCTATACAACTTCAGCATGCCAATTCTTTGGGCTACTGAGGCCAGTTTTTCTGTCTTTGTGAACACCCCAGTGGCAGGAACATGGCTGGGACAGGCTGGGGAGAGGTGAGGACAACTCCCTTGGTTTCTAAACCAGTTCTGTGTTACTGCTTAATTGCTAAATCCAGAGGTGGTTTACACAAAGTATAGTCCCACCTCACCTGTTCAATCCTGCGTGCTGTAATGATGTGGCTTTCATTGTACTCATGAAGAGTGCGGGCATCTGAAAAAAACAAAACAAAACAAAACCCACCACTCAATCAAGACAAAGCAATTGGCTTATCTGATATTCATGTGGTAGTATCCTGTTCTTCATTTGTTTGGTGGGAATCCAAGCACCAGCATAACAAGAAAAGAGATTCTGCTTCTTTGCAAGTGAGGCTTTCCAAATGGATATAACAAACCCTGACACTGATGTGAGTCTCAACACGTGTAGCACCAGGGGATGCCCACAGCCACAGCTGCCATGCTCACAGACCTGGGGAGGCTGTAAGGGGAACAGTGGGGACCTCCTCCCCTGCTCCCAACTGCTTGATTGCCAGCCTAAACACACTGCAACACACGGCTCCACCTGGGGGTGCTGGCACTGTGAAGAATACAGATGCTTAGTGATGGCCAAGGGCTGCCTGTCAGCACTGCCACCTCTGGGTGGCAGAGAGGGGAAGACGCAATTTAAGCCAGAATTTCCATAGGCAGGAAGCTCACTGCTCCCCACTGTGGCAATAAGTGCCACGCACCGCTGCTTTCTGCTCTGTGTGAAGGGCAAAGGAACAACAAGCAGTGCTGCTCCATGGAAAAAGGGAGGCAGAAATGCCCCAACAGCAAGGACTCGTGGCTGGTGAGAAATCCCTCCACCAACGCTCACAGGCCCCATTCCTGAGGAAAGCAGCCCCGCTCCTGACAGCCGCCCCGCTGTGCTCCACGGGCTCACCCAGCAGGATGAGGTAGTTGGGCTCGGACAGCCTGGGGAAGCGGCGGTGCTGGTTGAGGATGTTGTAGAGCTCGGTGGGTTCGCAGAGCATCACCCCCGCCATGCCTCGCACCAGGCCCGGACCTCTTCGCCCTTGTTGCTATGGCAACGCAACCGCCTCGTTGCTATAGAGCGACACCGCTCTGCAAATCTCGCGAGACTTCCTCGGCAGCTCAGCGGAGAGAAAAGAGAAGGCGGTGTGAGACGAATTCACGCGAAACTTGATATCGCGAGATCTGTAGCCGGCCGGCGCATGCGCGGCGCCGTGGAGGTCGTTGGAGTCACAGCCGTCGCCATGCTGTCCCGCCTCGCCCGTCCCGCCGCCGTCCTGTGCCGCGGCCTGGCCACCAGCGCCCAGGTACGAGCCTCGGAGATGAGAGGGGGATCCGAGGCGTTGGGTGCCTGCTGGGAGCCGGCTTTCCGGCAGGGAGATGCGGCCTAGGGGCGAGGGGCGGCCCGTGGGGTGCTGAGGTGAAGCTGAAGAGGGCTGTGTGGGGCTGTGGGGGGGTGGGGGCTGAGAGCTGAGCTGCGTGGGGCTGTGGGGGGGTGGGGGAGGGCTGTAGGTGGGGGGGGTGAAGCTGTGTGGGGCTGTGGGGGGGGGGGCTGGGCTTGGCGGGGTGCTGCCGGCATCTTTCTGGAGCAGAGCTGAGCAGTTAGTAACGGTGATCCGTGGTGTGCCGGCATCCTGGGTCCTAGAAATGCTTGGATAGCTCTGTCAGATGTGTGGTTTGTTTTTTGGGGGTGAGCATGTGTGGAGGCACGGCTTCACACACGTCGTTCCATGATGCTTGGGGGCCTTTCCCGTTGGGGTTATTCTCTGGTTACGTGTGGGTACTGGCCTCCAGGAGGTACTGCTTTGGGCTGGGTAGGGAGGGATAGAGATAGAGCTCTGCGTTTTAAGTGAAGCAGTTTTCCTGTGGTGTGTACAGGATGGCTACCAGAGGTCTAAAGACAGGCTTTGTGAGAGAGGATTGTGTAATTTAATAGGAATTATATTCAATAGCAATGAGGTTTTGATCTTAGGGTATCAGTTCGGTCATAAACACGGGGTGCAGCAGTAACTAATACTAGACTTTGCTTTCCTTTGAAGAGTTTTGTGCTAAATTGTATTTCTTGCAGTAGCAAGGATGCTGAGCTGAGTGCAAATTGATCTAGCTTGTGGGTGGATTATTTATTATGCTGTGAATTATTATTAAGCTAATAATTAAGCTGTTCCTGCAGTGAGCTTGGAGCAGTTATAGCTTTATCTGGGAGGATGGTGATACAGAGTGCCAGTAGCACCTTCCATCTCTGCAGTAGCCTCTGGTCCTCCATCAGTTTGGCAGAACATCACAGTTCACAGTTTTTCTGATCTTTTCAAATAGCTTTCCTTACACTGCGGGCACAGGGGGGTCATCAAAAGAAACAGCTTTCTTCCAGAGAGCACATCTGGGTACAATTGGTTCACAGGGCAACAAAGCAGGGTTGATTTTTTTTTTTTTTTTGCTTGCTTGTCAGCTGCATTTAATCAGTAATTTAATGTTCTCAGGGCTCAATTTTGAGGCAGTTGCAGGTACGATTTTATTTCAGGCATAGACATTTTCTTCACGTACGTACAATAGCTGTTACATTTACTGTAGTCCATTAAATGTATTGATGGTTTTCCAAATGGAAAGGCTTTTTTTTTTTTTTTTATAATAGCTTTGAAAACTGGAAAAAAAATTGCAACACTCATTTTGCTCTGAATGAGCTGGATGTCCACAGGAGCAGGTATTAGTCAATAGTCTGCAGCTGAGGAAGGCTGATCCTGTCAGTGCTCTGCCTAATGCTGTGTGAGCTTCAGAGCACAAAGAATGCTTTTGTCCTTCTTGTCCAACCAGCAAATCTCAAGGATCTTTGGGAAGCTGTTGTGGTGATGGCTTTCTGTGGGCTTAGGCAAGCAAATTTGCATGGTGCTTAGTAAAGAAATTGAGAAACAACTAAAAGTAAAGAAAGCGTGGTGAAATCCCCAAGGTCACTTCTGCATTAAGTAGCCAAACAACTCATCAGCATGGTTTCTTATTTCTCCTTCAGAACAATGCCAAGGTGGCAGTGCTGGGAGCATCAGGAGGGATTGGGCAGCCTCTCTCCCTTCTCCTGAAGAACAGCCCTGCGGTGAGCAGGCTCAGCCTCTATGATATCGCTCACACCCCTGGTGTTGCAGCTGACCTCAGTCACATCGAGACAAGAGCGAATGTGAAAGGTATGGTGAGTGGCTGGGGGTGGACTTGGTGCATGCAGAACTTGAAGGATCCCCTCAGGTGTGTGTGGTGTTTGGCAGGGCCTGCTCTTGTACTTCATGTGGAGGGAGGCTTCGCATCAGCCCAGCGTCAGCTGAAGCAGCTTTTTTTCCTCGAGTGATGCATGACTAATTAAGGCTTACTTGATTAGATTGGCATGTATGGAGATGAGAAATAGTCTGTGGTTGTTGCACAGTTGGAAGAGAATTCATAATAGCTGGCAGGAAACATTTAATAAAGTCATATCAGGGAAAAGCCTGAGTATTGAATTTAAAATCTTGGCTATAAATATCCCTAATTCTCCTGGGGCATCTGTGTGCATTGTATGTGCTTGTTTTCTTCAGAGGCAGCAATCAATTTTTGATGAAATCGAAGAATACTTCATTTGCTGATCTTCATTTTAGTTGAAGATCACTAAAAGGTTGTGCTTAGCTTGCACGTGCCCATCTGCAGTTCTGGGGCACTGAGTCAGCTAGGACCTTTGGTTATGGATACAGAATGGAGTGACTGGCTGCGTGTGAAACGTTCAGCATGGTTCTTATCCCACTTATTCTGTGGGCTTTGAAAGCCAGAGCATCAGATCCATCCACCCATAATCTCATTGCTTTGCTTTTGAGTGTGGATTGAAAGCTAAATTCAGAATTGGTTGTCTTGAGGCTTAATTTCGTTCTTCAAACTGGCAGTTATTTAAAAACTGGTGAAAACACAACATCTAAAAATCTTCCATTCCAGGTTTCCTGGGACCTGAGCAATTGCCAGAATGTTTGAAGGGCTGTGATGTTGTAGTGATCCCTGCAGGAGTCCCTAGGAAACCAGGTATGTTCTCCACGATAAAAAGCCCCAGGGCTTCACTGAATGCATCTCTGCAGAGCTGCAGTACATTCCAGGAGGCTGTGGTGCTGCTTTCAGGAAACGTTCTGGTTGCCTTGGGATGGAAGTGGTCTGTGAATGACCCTGACCTAGAGCTTGTTGTGGTGTCAGGTACCTCAGCTAGTCACTGCTTAGATCATTGCTCATAAGGTGGGGAGAAACACTGATTTCTGGGCTTCTTTTGTAAGGGGGAGGTGCAAAGACTTTTCACTGCAGTTAACCCTGAGTCTCCCCTGATATTTTTTGCCCACAGCAATACCACGTTCAAAACCTGCTTTGTTGTTTCTTTTCTTAGTCTGTTCTGCATTAATTGTACAGTGTCTCTGAGCAGCTCTGAATCAATGCCTTTTTAGTTTCTGATCTGTTCTATTTCCACTGGTTTTTTTTTTTTTTTTTTCAGCATACTATTGGGAATGTAACAAAAGTCTAGGCTTTAATTCATTTCTCATCCTAATTCTGCATTTCCATGGTGGCAGCCCTGCAGCTAGCAATATTCTGCACAGATCAATTAACATTCCAGCTGCAGTTGTAGAGGTGACTTCAGAGAGGGATGAATAGGCTACAGGTACTAGAAGCATTTACTGGCTGTGTTTTAGGTATGACCCGTGATGACCTGTTCAACACCAATGCCAGCATCGTTGCTTCTTTAACAACTGCCTGTGCAAAGCATTGTCCAGAAGCCATGATCTGCATTATTTCCAACCCGGTAAGCATTTTCTGGGGACCTTCAAAATGTAGAAAAGAAAATCCACTCAGAGAATACTGAAATAATCTGCAAGTTCTTGCTAGTTTTGACCAGTATCTTTGAGGTTTATGGAATATTTGCAAGAAAACAAGAAGAAAAACTAAAAGCCTGGCTCTTGATTGTTCTTGAGATATAAGGAAGTCAGATTCTACTTGTATGTAGAAGGGATTGATATCTCAGCTTCTCTCTGACTGGTTATTGTACATGCTGCTGTAGTTACTGTCTCACTGGTTGTTTAAAATAAAAAAAAACTTGTTCCAGCTTGCCTGTAAGTTGTTCTTACTGTGAAGAATTGGCTGATTACAGGTGACTTAAAGTTGGAGATGTGATGTTTATTGTCCTGTTCATTTCAAGCATTGGTTTTGTTCTGCTCCTGTTCTCGGTGAACGCTTGCATGTTTTTGCCTGCAGGTAAATTCAACCATCCCCATAACTTCAGAGATTTTCAAGAAGCACGGCGTGTATAATCCTAACAGAATCTTTGGGGTAACAACTCTGGACATTGTCAGAGCGAATACTTTTGTGGCTGAGCTAAAGGTAGGCTGTAATGATGGGTGCTGGGGAAAGGATGTCGTGTGCTGCTGTCATCAGTTGTACCAAAAGGCTTCTAAACGTCACAGTATAGAGCTAAAGTAGCTCAGATTGATGCAGAGCTGGAGCTGTAAGCAATGATTCCCTGCAGAGGAGCCTGGGGATTGGGTTTCTTACAAAACCTACTTGCAGAGACTTTGACCTTTCCTTTCGTCAGCCTCCCCTGTGAGTGAGCTGCATGTTGGCCCTCGTTCTCTTGGCACTTTCAGCCCTGCTGGTGCAACTGGAGGAGAGGGGTTTGCAGTATATCTTTGCAAGTCGTGCTGTCTGTGCTGCGTCTTGTAGGATATTCTCTGTGTGGTATCAAACAGGGTGAAGGCTTCACTGCTCTTAATAGCCCTGGTGGAGTTTGTACCTTTGCTGCTGTTTATCTGAACTTGCATTGATATTATTCTGTGACTGAAGTTATCAGGATGAATAACTTGGAGTTGGACTGTATCGATTGGCACTGCCCTTGTCGCTGCCCCTGAAATTTCTGGATGTCAGGATACTGAGAGCAGGAAAAATGTGGTGGTTTTAAATGTCTTATCTGTACATCTCAAACTGGAAAGTTTTGTGTTTCCCTTAGGGTTTGGATCCCGCTCGAGTAAGCGTTCCAGTT